ATAGTTCTTGCCATAACATGTTTTCCTTTTTTGCGTGCTGTTTTTACTTTGTTGTGATTCCAACTAGCAACATGTATTTTTCTGCTATCAGTACTAGTATTATTTTGCCCTTCAATATCACTGGATGACATAATTTTAATTTAAAGCGTAGGAAAATTGAAAATATGGAGCTGTTTTTAACAACACACATACACACGAAGCGACCACTGTGCTAATAAACAAACAAATGCCCAATGATTTGTCGTTGAGATTGAGAACCGTACTAGTCGCGGACATATACGGTTTATCTTCTCATTTCACGAATGGAATCAGCTGTACTGCATCAGCGGCTAAGTATTTAGTACGGTTTTTATCCTCAATCGATGAAAACATATATTTTAAGCAAAATGGCTGTCTTACTTCAAAATGTCAAATTTTGGACATGTACGGTTTTCGAACTCAGCTTAATTATTAAGCTAAAGTTCTGGATTCATTTTTCTCTTTAGACTCCATTTCTATAAAATTCAGTTCGCAGCAACTTGGCTCCATGCTCTAGTAGCGTTTCAGCATTTTAATATGTCCAAAGTTTTATCCACTAGCGCAATAAGTGTCATTATCGATGTTCATCTCTTTATCCATTGTAAACGTATATGCAGTCGTAATCACGGCCATTAAAGAATAGGCGAGTGTGCAAGCTCCTATTCAAACACGAATGCCTCTATATTCCCGGGACCGGCGCATCACAGTGACAATGTCCGGCTGCTAACCGGCTTTTTTTCGGTGGTCGGCCAATGTGCAAGCGTCAATGCCCTCCAATGGTTTACTATTAAAATCTGGTCGGCCGATATTTTACCGGCCGTCCAAAATCGGTGTGTGTGCAAGTAGCCTTCGGCGTTGAAGCGGCGACTAACCGTTCCGACGGTGTCTGATGGAGGTTTGGCTCACCAGCGGTCGCTTCTCGCCGCGGAAGGTGAAGTAATACATTATGTGGCGCTTTACAACTTTTGCATTTACTCAATCTGCACTGCCGTGTCAGACGGTTATCTCTCAAGCACTTCAGGCACAAATTTAGTTTTCTAGCAGCTGCAGTGATAAAAAGGATATACAGTGAAAGCTCCCATAAGCGGACACTCACGGTTCCGTAACTTTTGTCCGCTTATGGGAGGTGTCCGTTTAAAAGAGAGTATGTAAGTATAGAGTATAAATAACGGGGTATATAATCATGAGGAAATGAGGTATTATAATCATGAGAAAAATGAAACAGAAACTCGCCACATTTTTAAAGTATGTATTTATGCTATATATCTATATAATATATGTACATATACGCATACAAAAACATAAATGCTTCAATACATGGTACGAGAATTTAAAAAAAAAAACATTATTCTTTAGCTTGTTGAAAAAAGTTTAAAATGTTTGTCTGACGAAATTTCACCATATTTTGCTGAAGGAGACAATTTTCGTAATAACTTTCTAAATTTTTCAAATGTTGAAATGCAGTGAAATCATCTTTAGCAATTTTTTTCAATATAGAAATATGATTTAGAGCTTCCCCATATGAATTTATCGTTTTTGAACCGCTTAGTGAGTCCACCAGTTCCACTTCTTCTTCTGAGTCGTTTGGACTACCATATTCAAGTTGGCCTGGGCTTTCTACATCCAGATTCGAAAAGTTGCCAATGGCATTTTCTTCTGTTGTTATGTTATTGTCTATGGCCAGGAAATCATCTACTTTCTGGGGATCTGCTACTCCTAAATGTTTGGCATGTCGCAGTAACTGAGCAAGTGTCGCTAAGGGCAGATCGTCTTCAGCATCGCAATAATTTTGCTCAGCAAATTCTGAGCTACATTCACTTTTTCTGAATCCAGCTTTGCCAAAACAGTTTTTAATTGTAGAGGAATTTACTTTATTCCATGCTGTTTTTATAAAATACAAAGCTTCTAACACATTGATAGACTTTGTAAGCTCAGATAAGCTTTGACCATCGTCAATTTTTGTTAAAATATGTTTTAAAATCAAGTGCCGATAATAAAATTTAAAGTTCTGTGTGACACCTTGATCCATGGGCTGACAAACAGAAGTTGTGTTTGGCGGTAAAAATATAATTTTCACATTTTTCATTTTCATATCACGAGGATGAGAGCATGCATTGTCTAAAAATAAAAGAACTTGCCTTTTTTGGATTCTCATTTTCCGGTCGAATTCGACTAACCACTCAGACATGATTTCTCGGGTCATCCATGCCTTTTTGTTGGATTTCCAAGTCGCTGGTAGATCCTTAATAGCAACGTTTTTTAAAGCACGGGGACGAGCGGCTTTCCCGATCACAATCAAATCGCATTTTTCACCGGCCATATTTGCACAGAATAAAATGGTTAGTCTATCTTTAGACAACTTTCCACCCACACATGTTTCTCCTTTAAAGGACAGAGTTTTGTCGGGCAATGCGCGAAAAAAAAGTCCACTCTCATCTGAGTTGTACACATCTTCTGGTTTGTAGCCAAGCAACATGGACGGAAGTTTCTCCAAAAATTGTGACACATCAACTTGATCTACTGCAGCAGCTTCGCCAGATATGCATTTGAAACTCACACTATGTCTCTTGCGCCACTTTTGCAGCCACCCGTCGGACGCACTGAAATTATTATAGCCCAAAGTAGTGGCGATTTCTTTAGCTTTCATTTTCACTAACGGCCCTGAGATTGGAATGTTCTGACTTCTAGCTTTCACAAACCACTCAAAACATGTTTTGTCTATAGCAAAACCTTCCTTTTTTAAAAAATCCTTCTTTTGATTTATATTAGTTCCTGATTGCCATTTACTCCTGATATCTTCCTTATTTTTGGCAATTTCAGCTGCTTGCGTTTTCCCAATATTAAACCTCTTTGCCAAATGACGAACTGAAACACTTTCTCTGTCTAATACGTTAACAACTTCCATCTTTTCCTTTAACGAGAGCATCCTTTTTTTTTGGTGCCATTTTACAGTTACAATAATAAAATACGTAACTCAATCAACTACGAATTTGCCTGAACTGAAGACAAGCCACAAGATTACATACAGGCTACCCAACGAAATGCGTAAATGGGGAATCACCTAATATAAATCGGGGAATTACCGAATTTTATGTATGTAGATATGTGCATTGCAATAAGCGGAACTAAAAAATGGTCCGGGTATTAGAGTTTCGCGTCCGCTTATGGGAGATTTTTTGATCACATACAGGAAAATCTAGTGTCCGCGTCCGTTTATAAGACCGTCCGTTTATCGGAATGCATTTAACATTGAAAATTGATGGCTGAAATTCGGTTCCAGGAACTTTGTCCGGTTAAAAGAGATGTCCGCTTATAGGAGCTGTCCGCAAGGAGAGCTTTCACTGTACACTTAAATATCGATTGAGAACCTTTACAATAAAAGCACTCAATCGCAGCTTCTGGGGCTGCAAAACTGTTACTCCTATGCTGTTTTCTACTACTTGTATGAGGGTAAGACTTCCCTCTATCGAAGTGTTTAGCATGTGACATTACTAACTCCAATTTCTCTCAAACTTCACACTTTTTCTTGAAAAATACATGTAAATCAGCCATTGTAGCAAGATCCCCATTATACTTAAAATCCTCCCAGTCTCTTCTGGTAACCGAGTCGAACTTGGGACTCATGATGTATATAATAAGGCTATCCCACTCGTCTGTCTATTCTCCCAGACTTTTCAATGATCTGATATGTGTCATGAAATTATCATAAAGATTTCTTAAATCCGCGTGATTTTCCTCATTCACGGGTGTATGTTCTATGATCGCCTTGATATGATTGAAAACAACCAATCTTTTAGTCTCATACCTTTCTATTAAAAATTGCCAAGCACTTCTGTAATTATCTGCTGAAACTTCAATAAACTTAATCGTATCCAAAACGTCTTTCTCTAAACTGGTTTTCAAATAATAAAACTTTTAGATATCTGATAGCTGCTCATTATAATCTACCAAAGACAACTCTAGCCAATTATGGTAACGACCGTCAAACGTAGGTATTTTCATAGGTGGTAACTTTACTACATTAACTGGATTAGTTGTAAACCTAACAACTGACGAACTACTGTTACTGTTAACTGAGCCAGTGGTAGACTTGACAACCGATGCACCATTTGGCACATTACTTTTAACCCGTTGAGGCCGAATTTATTTATTTAAATAAAACAACAAAATGAAGAGTGTAACTCTGTTTACATATATTTATATTTTACTTGGTTTTTAAGATCGCAGAACCAATAGAAAATAATCAGGATTATCCTGCAGGATATGGTATTCCTGAATTACCAGTAGGAAACTAACATAAAAAATAGGTCATGGTAACAGCAATAAAAGCATGCGAATACGTAATATACATAGCATTATTTGGTATGGTAAGCGGCAAAACAGTTTTTGTCGTGTTTTATACATAGTCCCACATTACACGATGAACACTTCCACTTTGTACGCCTTACTTCCTTTGTGGTGCTACAGTGGGCACATCTCAGCAATGTAGTTCTTTCTGGCATGTGGCATGCCTTAGAATACCGAAGTTCTAATGGAACACACTTTTTGAACCTATTGATAGGTTCCTTGTTTGATGGCCTACCTCGTTTGGAAGGAACTACTGCGCCAATGACGCCCCTGGATACAGCCAAACGAAATGTTTTCAAATTCATTGCTTTTGATTTGCTCCGCAATCGAAACAAAATTGAGGCGTTGACGACACATGCATCAACAAAGTAAAAGAAAATTCTATGCCACCACTTATGTGACTTACGGTTTACTTCATACAGGCTTTTTAGCATGTCGAACTTATCGACATAGCCCATATGAGTGTAACATATTCGATAACCATTTGGGGACATGCTACTTCATCAAGGACCCCATCTTTTCTCCTTCTTGGAACGCGACCCATTGTCACAGGATTTTGGTAATTGCTGAGGAATAATACGCTTCTTCGATCCATCCACTTCATGGCCACTAGTCCGCACGTAGATATGCGATAATTAATCTTTATCGCCTCGTTTCATATCTTTATCTAACTTCAGCTCAGGAAAATCTTTTCTACCTTTCCTTATCGTACCACATGCATATATTCCATTCGATAATAAAGATCTTTGTAGTTCAACGGAATTGAAATAATTGTCGAAAAAAACTTTATGATGCTTTCCTACTAAAGCTCTGCTGAGGTCCTTCACAACCCGTAACCCTAATTTCTTTTCAGTAGTCTGGCCAATTTTTCCGGTATATATTTGAAAATCGCACATGAAACCAGTTGAGTCACACCTAACCCAGACTTTGTAGCCCCGCTTGATTGGTTTGTTTGGCATGTATTGACGAATTGAACTTCGTCCTTTGAATCGTATCATGGATTCATCTATAGATTGAAATTCATGTGGATTCATGGCGGAAAGAAATGTTTCTCGAAGCTTAGATAGAATTGGTCGAACTTTATAAAGTTTATCGTAATTGGGGTCATTTCTTCCCGGTTGTACCGAATTGTCGTTGAGATGGATATGACTTAGTAACCACGAGAATCTATCCCGTGAAATAGCAGCACTAATGAAATTATCTCGAAGCTCGTCGTTGGATGACCAATAGTGTCTGTAACTGGGCATTTGCTTGATGCCCATCAGTAGATTGACCCCCAAAAAATTTTTTATTTCTTCTTCTGACGTTGGAGTAAAATTAGCCCCTCCGCCATGTTTTTGAAGGTAGTACAAATTTGTTTGGAATACTATATGTTGGATTAGATCTCCAGGAAAAAGTGATAAAAAAACGTCAGTCGGAGTTTCTACATCCGCAATTAGGTTGGGACCTGTTACTTCTATGAAAGGATTGGTTGTAGTGACATAGTTTTCGTTATTTGTCCAAATACTAGACTGATTGGTCGCCAATCTTGCTAGTGGTACATCGTCCTCGCTCTCCCAACCCATGTCAGCGACTAATTCAACAGCCACGTCATTTTCCTCTTCAAGAATAATATCCATATTCTGAATGTCAAGAAGGTCAGTTTCTGGTAAGTTATTTGCCTCTAGATATCCTTCTCCTACTTCACTTTCTACATCCGAACCTTCAGATTCACTGCCACTTGGTATTTCATCGAGGATAGCATACAGTTCATCTTGGTTCAGTTTTTCCAGGTCTAAAAGCTTCCAAGCTGCTTTTTTATTTCCTAAAACAATTTTGTTATCACTACATTGAAAAGTGCCTAGTGGTTATTTGAGATTACCACTCATAAAAACTACGAATAAGACATTAAAAAAAAACAAAATTTGTTTGCATAACTTGAGTAAGCAATTATACAACAAACATAGCGAAAAGAAACATACCTGCCATTTGCATTCCAGACCTGCATTCAATTTCAGGCATTTTCTATAAATGTTTTTTAAACAGCATTAAATATTTTCTTTGTCTCTTGTTTAACTTGAAGACATGTTGATATTTTGAGAGAAAATGTACTTTGAAAGTACATGACACCTTTATCCATAAGAAGTTGACAAAACCTTGTGTTGACGGGAAATGAAAAGAGGTGTTATGTACTTAAACATTGGTATTTTATTGCAAAAGTAACAAAAATCTCAAAACTCATCAAAATGAACCAATTGCTTTTCTTTTTTTCTTGGGATTCTCTTCGTTTTCTTCAAAAAATTTTTCATAGAACCATTTATACTCGTTCTTGACAAACTTTAACTGTTCACGCAAGTTACTCAACTTTTCTGCAGTAAGTCCACCTTTATTCTCTGTGATTCTGCGTAGTGTAATATTGTCCTCCTTACGTATCACCCTACTTCCTTTTTTAAATAGATTTACGTTATGAAAAGGTGAATATTCATCCAGATTTTCTTTATAAAAGTAGCTGCCGAACTCATCAACTCTAATCCATTTGACACTATCTCTGAAACAGATTTTTTGTCCCATATCATTAGTCTTTTTATTCCAAATATGCAACTTCCCTGAGAGTTCGTTAAAGTCATAGAAGTAATTTTCCATATCGAGGGTAGCACAGTTTTTCGTACTTGCAGATTTAATTAGCTCACGGTATTGTTCGGGTACATAGATATTCTCAACCTTTCTAAGTTTTTTTTCTATTCTGCCAAAATTTCTGTCTGAGTCTAGGTAGCTGTGTCCAACTTCTGGAAACTTATGATCGATGACTTTCAATGTTCCATTTAAAATTAAAAATTGATAGAGACTGGTAATATTGAAGTTTTTATTTTGGCCTGCACAAGAGTCAGACCAAATGATTAGATGATTAATATTTTTGTGAGATTCTTTGAGCTGCTGACAAAATCAACTAGCTATCTCAATACTTCCTCGTTTTGCTACATCTTCGGTCCAATTGAAAAAAAAAGGTTTTGATCCACTAACAGTTACACAATGGATACCAAAATTATAGTACCACATTTGGCGAAGGTAAAAAGCTTTACTGGTAGATAATTTTGGTAGTGGCATCGTTTGTTGCATATCCATAGTTATATAGCAGGTATCTTCTTCCATTGATGGTCTTTCTCTATCACGTCTCTGTGATTCAAATGCAGCTTTAAAGTTTTCTGTATGCAGATCTGTCTTTTGCCCTGAATCACAAACACTACACGTGTCACTTCTAGGGTGGCCAAAAGATAAATTGAACTTTGTACAAAATATTTTAGCATAGGAAGAAAGTGTCACTTTGAAAGAATCATCCAGTTTTCTGTTTTCACAGTCTTCGATGTACAACTTATACATTGTAGCCATATTAAGGATAGGTGACAAATATTTTTTATGACAGTTTTTATTACGTGAGTAATGTGACTCTTCTGAGGGGAATTTTTGGATATGATCCATAATGCACGCAATGACATCCTCTTTAATTTTATGAGGTCTGTTTTTGTGTTGACCTCTTTTGTCAGGTGTTGGAGCATTCATTCCTTTTTTCAGTGTTCTTTGCATAAGTTCAATTTTCTTTCGGCTAATCTGATAAAGAGGACATAGTGCACCTCGGCATATGATTTCTGTTTTTCTATTAAAAGTAATGGAATAACTAAAAGAATATGTTTTTTCTTTTTTTACATTAGTCCTATGTCTTGCAACCGGTTTGATGTTTATGCTTTTAAATTACAAAGCATTTTTTGCGTTTATATCTAATGCATAATACTTTTCTAAAATTGCTTTTCTATCTTCTAAAAGAAACTTGTCAGAGCAATGTAATCTGCATTTTTCTTTGCACAGCAATCCAGAATTTATTTCTTTTTTTTGACATAACTTTCCCTGTTTGAGAAAGATACTCTTCTCCTCTTGCTCTTAAAATTGCAGATTTTCTTCTACTCCACTGATCTGGATTCCTAAGACGTTTCTTAGATGTTTTCTCCTTCAACTGAAATATTTTCTTTTTCACTCTTTCTCTTTTTTCTTCCAAAAAATGGTCATCTTTTAAATTGGGCAATCCAATATCAGCAGTAATATGCGATATAAATCGATTCTCCGGAGTTAATTGAGTACTTGAGCTTTGGTTTGAGTCATGCCTGGTTTGAGATAATAGCTTGTTTCGAACGTTGGATAACAGCTCATTATCTGATTCATTACTCGATTCGGTTTCGGATATATATTCACTGCAGCTTGTGACATCCTCATCGCTGAAATCTTTATGAGACGATGGACACTGGTATATATCTAAAAATAAACAATAAAACTAATTAATTACCTCTTTTAAAATAAATATTGATTGCGTCCATACCTCTACTGGTACTGGGAATAATTGATATCCGAGGATTAGCTGTTAGATTTTTAATGAATTCTGCATCATTTTTATTTGTGCTAGGTTTAGAACAAATATTAAGACAAGGAAACGTCTTAGGGTTATTGTCTATATTTTCGCTCTCTTTATTTCCAAAACTTCTCATGGGACTAATTGATCCATCGTGATTAGTTTCTAAAATCAATGCAAAATCAGTACAAAATAACAACAAAATAATAAAAGCCACTAATTTTCTACCTGGTCTTGTAGTACATGCTTTTTGTTGATCCTCTAGAATCTTTAAAATGTATTTTCCTCTAGACATCACTGAATATATTATGTTAGTAAACCAACAGTTTCAAAAACAGCACTCTAATGGCGGATTTCCACCAAACAGACAAAACAGCAACAAAACAGAAACTCGTGTTTATCTCAACAAAACTGCAACTTTTCACCAACATTTTGTAGACAGGAGTCGCCGGCAACTGTTTTTGTTGAGTTTTTGTTGTGTTTTCGAAGTCCCGGTCGAAGGCGGTAACTTCAAAGGGTTTTCGCGCAACTAGCAACACAGTTGGTTTAGTGGAAACAGCTTGCGACGCGTCTCTGTTTTGTTGTAGTCTGTTGTAGTGTGTTGCAGTGTGCGCAGTTTGAATTTATTTGTGCTATTGAATACCTAGCAGTTAATTGCAGGATATGACTGAAGAAAAGAAAAAGTGGACCACAGAAGAAGTGGGAAATTTAATAGAAACTTATCGCGATTGTCCAAATTTATGGAACCCCACAAACCTGGAGTATAAAAATCGAGTGAAAAAAATGGACACTTACAAACAAATAGCTCATGTATTTAAAACAACTCCACATGAAATAGAGAGGAAAATAAAAAACTTAATTACCCAGTACCAACGGGAAAGGCGCAGTTACAAAAAAATGAAAAAATCAGGAGCCGGTCATGTTTTCAAGGCAAAATGGTTTGGTTATAGTGCCATGAGCTTCCTTCACGACAAAAACAAACCTAGGAAAGGAACACAGATTGGCGTAGAATTGGAGGTGAGTAGGTATTTTGTTTTTTTTGTGTTTATTTAAAACTCTAGCATTTTAAGAAAATTTACAACAAATAATTAAGCATACTGTGATTGCCATGGTACTTGTCCTAAGTCCGATATGAAATATTCGCTGAATTCGTCTCTAATTTCTCGGGCTTCTTGAATTGGTTTCCTTGCTATTCGTCTTATAGGCAAAAGTGAGTGACATGGTTCCGGATCATTTCTCCACAATCCTCCACTTACAGTACCAGAATCTAAGTGTTCGAAATCAAAGGAGCCTGGCGGTGTATATCTATCTTTCGATTCCACATCTCTACGTAAATAATTGTGCAGCAAAACACATGTTTGAACAACTTTCTCCACTTTGTCCGGCTCTAGTAACATAGGCTTGCGAAGGACCCGAAAAACAGATGCTAGTATTCCGAATACGTTCTCGACGACTCTTCGAGCTCTACTTAGACGGTAATTAAAAATTCGTTGTCTTGACCCACGTTCTTGGTGCCCAGCATACGGCTTCATTATATTTTGTGACAAGGGGAATGCATCGTCTGCTAGTAAGACGTATGGTACCAGTTTTTCTCTTCCAGAAAGTGCCGCCTTTTGTGGCAGATTGAGCATATCTCTTTCCAATGCTTTGGCAAATCCAGTATTTTTGAAAACTCCTCCGTCTGATATTCGGCCCTGGCACCCAACGTAAACAAAAATAAAATTGTAACTGGCATCGACTATGGCAAACAATACAATACTAAAAGTCCCTTTATAATTGAAGAATTCACTTCCACTGTATTTTGGGGATTCTATGATTACATGTTTTCCATCCATACTGCCTATACACATCGGGAAGTTCCACATTGTATTATATCCATTTGCAACTTTTTTCCAATCCTCTGGATTTGCGGGAACCTTAAAACAAAAAAATTCAGGACCATGATCAAATGTAAGAAGGAAGAATCCCGAAAGGACACGATATCTGATTTCTTGATATTGGATTTCAAACAACTGATATTATTCCTAAAATAATCTTCATTTTAAACTATACAACCCACATTTTATGAAATTCAGCCAATTCAATGCGCACTCTATAATTACAGGGAAGTGATTCGTCAGATGAAGGTGATGAAGAAACCCAGTCTGATATGCAAAGCACAACCGAAGCAACGAATGAGTATGAAAGTGAAAGCGAAGTTTCAGAATGTCAGTTAACTGAGGAAATAGGCACACCTGCAGCAAATACAAGGGAAGAGCCTAAAATCGCTGCTGCAGCGTCAGTTAACAAAAATGTTTCAGTTGAGAATACAGAAAGTGCAGAATATTTTCAGAAACAAGCTTCCCAGAAACCACATGTTTTTAGTACTCCAAAAATTGGCTCAAGAAAGAAAAAACGTGTTGAGTCTGATGACAAAAATGAGACTACGGAGGTCTTTCAGATGATGAAGTCAGTATTTGAGAACAGGCAAGTAACTACATCAAGGCGCGACGAATACGACGTGTTTGGGGAAATGGTGGCCTGCAATATCAGACATCTGCAAACTGAACATGCTAGAGTTACTGTGCAACACAAAATAAATAACCTACTATATGAGGCTCGAATCGGTTATTACAATTATCCAGAA